AACCCTCCACAATTCCCCAATCCTCCCCAACTCATCTTTCTTTTTCCTTTGTAGAATCCTCCACAATTCCCAAATCCTCCCCAACTCCTCTTTTTTCCTTTGAAGAATCCTCACCAAATTCCAAAATCCTCAGCAACTCCTCCTTGTTCCTTTGTAGAATCCTCACCAATTCCCAAATCCTCCCCAACTCTTCCTTTTTCCTTTGTAGAATCCTCCCCAATTCCCGAATCCTCCCCAACTCCTCATATTTCATTTGTTGAATCCTCATCAATTCCCGAATCCTCCCCAACTCCTCTTTTTTCCTTTGTAGAACCCTCCCCAGTTCCCAAATCCTCTCCAACTTCTCCTGTTTCCTTTGTAGAACCCTCTCCAATTCCCAAATCCTCCCCAACTCTCATTTCTCCTTTGTAGAATCCTCCACAAATTCACAAATCCTCCCCAACTCCCCGATTCCCAGATCCTCCCCAACTCCTCCTTTTTCCTGTGTAGAATCCTCCCCAATTCCAAAATCCTCCCCAATTCCTCCTTTTTCCTTTGTAGAAGCCTCCCCAATTCCCAAACCCTCCCCAACTATTCCTTTTTCCCGTGTAGAAGCCTCCCCAATTCCCAAAATCCTCCCCAACTCCTCCTTTTTCCTGTGTAGAATCCTCACCAATTCCCAAGTCTCACCCAACTCCTCCTTTTTCCTTTGTAGAACCCTCCCCAATTCCCAAATCCTCCCCAAATCTCATTTCTCCTTTGTAGAATCCTCCACAAATTCCCAAATCCTCCCCAACTCCTCCTTTTTCCTTTGTAGAATCCTCCGCAATTCCCAAATCCTCCCCAACTCACCCTTTTTCCTTTGTAGAATCCTCCCCACTTCCCAAATCCTCCCCAACTATTCCCTTTTTCCGTTTGTAGAATCCTCTCCAATTCCCAAATCCTCCCCAACTCATCATTTTTCCTTTGTAGAATCCTCCCCAATTCCCAAATCCCCCCCAACTCCCTCTTTTTCCTTTTGTAGAATCCTCCACAATTCCAAAATCCTCCATTTTCCTTTGTAGAACCCCCCCCCACTTCCCAAAATGCCACCCAACTCATCCTTTTTCGTTTGTAGAATCCTCCCCAATTCCCAAATCCTCCCGATCACATCCTTTTTCCTTTGTAGAATCCTCCTCAATTCCCAGATCCTCCCCAACTCTTCCTTTTTCCCTTGTAGAATCCTCACCAATTCCCAAATCCTCCCCAACTCCTCCATTCTCCTTTGTAGAATCCTCACCAATTCCCAAATCCTCCCCAACTCTTCCTTCTTCCTTTGTAGAATCCTCCTCAATTCCCAAATCCTCCCCAACTCTTCTTTTTTCATGTGTAGAATCCTTCCCAATTCCCAAATCCTCCCCAACCCCTTGTTTTCCTTTTGTAGAATCCTCACCAAATACCCAGATCCTCCCCAACACCTCCTTTTTTCTTTTCGTAGAATCCTCACAAATTCCCAAATCCTCCCCAACTCTTCCTTTTTCCGTGGTAGAACTCACCCCAATTCCCAAATCCTCCCCAACTCATCCTTTTTCCTTTGTAGAATCCTCCACAATTCCCAAATCCTCCCCAGCTCCTCCTTTTTCGTTTGTAGAACCCGCCCCAATTTCAAAATCATCCTCAACTCCTCTTTTTTCCTTTGTAGAATCCTCCCCAATTCCCAAATCTTCCCCAACTCATCTTTTCTCCTCTGTGTAATCCTCCCCAATTCCAAAATCCTCCCCAACTCCTCTTCTTTTCCTTTGTGGAATCCTCCCCAGTTCCCAAATCCTCCCCAAATCATCATTTTTCCTTTGTAGAATCCTCCCCATTTCCCGAATCCTCCCCAACTCCTCCTTTTTCCTTTGTAGAACCCTCCCCAATTCCTAGATCCCTTCCAAATCCTATTTTCTCATTTGTAGAATCCTCCGCAATTCCAAAATTCTCCCCCAATTCCAAAAATCCTCTCCAACTCATCCTTTTCCTTTGTAGAATCCTCCCCAATTCCAAAATCCTCCCCAACTCCCCCTTTTCCTCTGTAAAATCCTCCCCAGTTCCCAGATCCTCCCCAACTCCTCCTTTTTCCTTCGTAGCATCCTCCCCAATTCCCAAATCCTCCCCAACTCTTCCTTTTTTCCTTTGAAGAATCCTCCCCCATTGCTAAATCCTCCCCAGCTCCTCCTGTTTCCTCTGTAGAATCCTCCCCAATTCCGAAGACCTCCCCAACTCCTCCTTTTCCCTTTGTAGAATCCTCACCAATTCCCAAATCCTCCCCAACTTGTCCATTTTCCTTTGTAGAATCCTCACCAATTCCAAACTCCTCCCCAACTCCTCCTTTTTTTCTCCTTTGTAGAATCCTCCCCAATGCCAAAAAAATCCGCCCCAACTCCTCCCTTTTCCTTTGTAGAATCCTCCCCAATTCCAAAAATTCTCCCCAACTCCCTCTTTTTCCTTTTGTAGAATCCTCCCCAATTCCCAAATCCTCCCAAACTCCCTCTTTTTCCTTGGTAGAATCCTCCCCAATTTCCAAATCCTCCCCAACTCCTTCTTTTTCCTTTGTAGAATCCTCCCCAATTCCAAAATCCCCCCCAACTCCTCCTCTTTCCTTTGTAGAACCCTCCCAAATTCCCAAATCCTCCCCAACTCCTCCTGTTTCCTTTGTAGAATCCTTCCCAATTCCCAAATCCTCCCCAACTCCTCCATTCTCCTTTGTAGAATCCTTCCAAATTCCCAAATCCTCACCAACTCCTCTTTTTTCTGTTGTAGAATCCTCCACAATTCCCAAATCCTCCCCAACTCCTCCTTTTTCCTTTTGTAGAATCCCCAATACATTCCCAAATCCTCCCCAACTCCTCCTTTTTCCTCTGTAGAATCCTCCCCAATTCCCAAATCTTTCCCAACTCCTCCTTTTTCCTTTGTAGAACCCTCCCCAATCCCCAAATCCTCCCAAATTCCCCTTTCTCCTTTGTGGAATCCTCCCCAATTCCCAAATCCTCCCCAACTCCTCCTTTTTCCTTTGTAGAAGCCTCCCCAAATCCCAAATCCTCCCCAACTCCTCCTTTTCTTTTGTAGAAGCCTCCCCAAATCCCAAATCCTCCCCAACTCCTCCTTTTCCTTTGTAGAATCCTCCCCAATTCCCAAATTCTCCCCAACTCCTCCTTTTTCCTTTGTAGAATCCTCCCCAATTCCCAAATCCTCCCCAACTCTTCCTTTTTCCTTTGTAGAATCCCTCCCAATTCCCAAATCCTCCCCAACTCCCTCTTTTTTCTTTGCAGAATCCTCCCCAATTACCAAATCCTCCCCAACTCCTGCTCATAATTTCTGTAGAATCCTAATCGTGAAATCCCCCCCAAACCCCGCTGACGTCATTACAGGGCGCAAAAATAATTATCGAAACGATTTTTCCGGTAATGTAATGTTTTTTGCCCCTGCAGTAATGATCTGTACCGGGGGCGCCCCCCCGTCCCATTTCCACTGACCGGAACTGCCGTCACCCGAAAAAAGCACCATCTATGGCAAACCTGGTTTAGTGATTCTGGCCTTCGAAGGCTCCGGGGCCCTACCACTAAGCGGGTCCCCTTACCCGGGGTCCTGACCATACCCGAGTGGCACCTCAGAAGAACTGCACGCACGCCTGTCTTGATGGTGCACACATGCGCCGCCTTGGCAACTCGAGATCACCCGCCACCGTTCCGCAGGCACCGGGTGGGGTGCCCTCGGGCCTCTCTTCGGGCTCCTGCGCGGAGCATCGCACGGGTCTTCGAGGGCACCGGGCCCAGAATACCTCGGGAGCGGCAAAGAGGGGGGTGTCCAAGAGGGGGGGGTGCAAATCATGACCGGCGGCATGTGCGCGGCCCAGCGGGGGGGCCAGGGACGTAAATGAAATAAGAAGGGGCGCCATGAAATCTGGGGAAATATCATGGCCCCCGCCATGATATCCCCCCCCCCTAGTCATCACCCCCCTCTTTTCCGCCCCGATCTCTTGCGGAAGCTCGCGCGCTCCCGGGGATCTCCGCTCGACTCCTCCAGAGGCCCCGGGAACGTGGCCGCAAGCCTCAGCCCCCAGCATGCTCGAATGCGGCCCCGAGGGACTGGCCCCGGGGCGACCTTGTCGGCCCTCTGGGCCGTCTGGCAGGACCCATGGGGCACGCCCAAGAGGCCCCAATCTTTCCACACCGTACACTTTTGTACACCTTGCGAAATGCTTAAGAAATCATGGGTTAAGAAATTCATAGTCTCAGAACTTGACTAAAAACCCAAAATTTCCATTCAAATCTTAGGATTTACATTGAAACATTAAGAATAATGGAGACTCTGGCCGAAAATTTAAGTTTTCTTAAGCATCGCCTAAGGTGTATGCTGCTCCTGTCTTGACATGCTAGCCTTAGGTGCGTGCAGAACGACCCAACTGGCTCCCCATGGAGGGGCCCACGAGGCTCCTACGGTAGAGGGACACAATTACTGAACAGTCCCCCTCCCCCCCAAACTCAATGGTGGCACGCGCGGGGGCGCTGCGGTCGAAGTGCATCTCATCAGACCCACCGCCAACTTTGAACATCTTTGGGGGGAGGAGGAGGCGTTGACCGAGGAATGTGGCATGAGTGTTCGCTAATTTGTTCCGAGGCCTGTATCTGGCCTCAAGAGGACCCCGACAAAGGGGTACCCGAGCAAATATTTGGAGCCCTCCACCCCAAGATGATCCCCGAAACCGCCCGCAGGCCTTCAAGAGGCCCCCAAGAGGTCTTCAGAGGGCCCCAAGAAGCCTCAAGAGGCCCCCGATACATCCCAAGAAACGTCTCGAAGGCCTCGAATCACTGGCCCAAGCACGGTGGCGGGCTGGGCAGAATGCCACTCGATCCACCGCAGGCTGTTGATTCATCAAAAGGGGACGGCAGAGCTTGCAACACCAGATTGGTGGCGGTGGATCGCCGTAGGCGTCGTCGATATCTGGGTCGAAGAGATCAACATGGTCGCATTGCTGCCCGTGCGCAACGAGCGGATGGCGCCAGGTCGTCCAGGTCATCGTCAATGATGCTTCCCCGCACCTTGGAGGAGGCGCATTTGACAGGGGATGCGCAGTACGCCTCAGGATGTGACAGAAGTGCAATCAAGATGCGCCTGCGTTTCTAGATGCGCCTGCGTTTCTTCGTGTTGCTTCACGCCCGTGACCGACAGCATAAGAGTGTGTGTGTATGTATGCATGCATGATGTATGTATGTGTACTTATATATCACCGTACATGAGCGATCTGGAGTCATAGTTCGGTTTTCCAATTTCTATGGCCTCCCCTCCGCCCCTCTGGCACGCGTGAACTCAGAACATCGGCGCCCGTAGGTCTGATTCTCTTGCGTTATGATTGGCCTCTCGACTGCTCCAAAACGGCGAAAGACAACCCCGACGCAGCTGCAAGATGCCTGGAAACGAGCCCAATACAGCCTAACGGCCCCCAGAATGCCACACCACGTCCCCAAAATACTCAAACGGGCCCCAATCACCACGAATACGCGGAGCACGCCAATGAAATATCGAGCGAGGCACCTGCAAAGTTCCAGCATTTGATCAACGCATGTTTTTATAGCTCCCGTCACTTTAGGCACCAAACCGCCTGGAAACCTTTACGCGGAAAGCATCCGAAAGCCCATAATTCACTTGCCCTGTACGTCTGTTGCGCGTCTGGCATTGCGACGCGTCGCTTCTTTTGGCGACTCCGCGCCATGTGACTGCATGGCAATTGCCATGTCTTTGCCCCGTTTCCACTGCTTCTCCACGTTGCCATGCTTTCGCTGGGCCTGGCTCGTTCCGTGGCTACGCTGCTGATACTGCCGCTGCCGTAGCCATCTATGGCTATGCTCCCTGCGGTGCTTGGCTCTCTTTTGATGTCGCGTGTGCTGTGTTTTGCACTGCCATGCGCTGATTGTCATGGGGAGGAAGGGGGAGGGAAGGCGTTGCTTCCGACCGACCCCAAATCCTGGAAAGTGGGCCCTGTTGAGACTGCGCCCCGCAAGCCACGATCCCAAGAATCTCAAAAGCACGGTCCACAACCCGCAATCTCAACAAAAATCTCCATCGAGCCCGCAAGCCTCGGTCCGAGCACGGATGCGCCCACCCCGCTGCTGCCCGGCGGTGCCCAGCGTGCACTGCCTGCCGCCGAGGGAGGCCGCGGCGCAGACGACTGGGGCTCCGGTGTAGCAGGCAGGTCTCCTGCGGCGGCCGCTGCTGCTGAGCAGTGGCGGCCGCAGCCCCAGCTGACACTGCTCGCGGGCACTGGCGACGCAGCCTGTCCGACAAGCTCTGCACGGCCTCAAGCGTCAAGTTTGCAATGTCTTGCGCTGTGGGAGTAGCTCATGGGTTGCCCGATCCCGCCGCGGCTCGAACACGATTGATAGGGCTCGCCCCCGCGCTGGCATCGCTCTCGCCCCGACTGTGGCGGCAAGCCTGGCGTCTGTCCTCTTCTGTGGTCACCATGTAGCTGATCTGGTCGGACCGAACTTTCGTGGGTCTCTCGTCGCCTTTAGCTTTTTGATTGTGTCCAGATCTGGGGGTGCCCACTCGTCGTCGTTGCTAATGATTGTCGAACGCTGGCAGACGTCGCGCTGGTCGCTTTTGCTCCAGCTGCTTTGGGGTTCCCCCGCGTCTCGAGCGTTTCAAGGCTCGCAGCTCGACGCAAAGACCGCGGCGAGATGGGCCCATCACAACCGTCTGACAAAAAACGCCGTTGTGCGTCATGAGACAACTTTAATGTTTTTCTGGGCCACCACGCCCGCCCAATTGACGTAGATGACGCGATCGGCGTCTCCGCGGCACCGGCGCTCAAACACCGTGTCGAAATCGAACGAGACCATGTGGATAAGCGCGCGACTGGTCCTACTAAAGCCTCAGTTCAAAGTACCGCGGGACTAACTCCCATTGTTCCCGTGGATCGCAAAGTTGGGGCGTGTGTCAGATCTGTCTAGGGTAACCTCCTGGTACAGCGCGTGGGGAGCTCTCGCTTACCATGAGTGTCCCTGGGGTGCACGAGTGAATGAGGAATCGAGGCCATCTTCGAAGGCCAGCTGCTTGTGCTGACATATTCTTCATGGCATTCTTGCCATTGCGCCGATCATCATAACCGACAATGTCACTCATCGCCGACATGATACTTACACATATAAGAGAACATCCCTCCCGCAAACAATGCCTCATAACTTTACCGACACGAGCGTGTTATGCTGGACGTTTGCGAGTCGACAAAGCATCGCTCACGGTGCTCCTGCGGGAATCGGCCCGCCAAGGATGCCGGCGGAAGCGGCATCATGTAGGTTGCCGGGTCGGTGTGGGTGCCGCGTATGTTGCCACCGGAACTGCGGATGTTTCGAAGGATGCGCATGTTGACCTTGTGCACAAAACCACCAAACCCTCGCATCAAGGCGGGTGCCTTGGCACTCCGGGGTCATGCGCGAAACTGCGAATACAAGCCAGACGCTTGCCGTCACAACGCCTTCCAGGCAGCATTCCAGGCTGGCTTATCATGCGGAGGAGTGGGTCGCAAGTGTTTCTGCCGCCTCTATACATGTAGCCGATGGCGGGTCCAATGTTGGGCCATATACGATTGTAGGCAAACAAGCCAGTCCTACCTACCGCACTCCAATATTGTGATGTGGTGCTGAGGCGCATTCCTGCGCGAGGCGACTGTGTCGGTGGACTTGGCCAGTCGGCGTGGGTCAAGGCTCAGCTCGTTTCCGAACGGCGTCATACCATGTTCATGCACCACTGATTTGTCCAACTCTTCTTGCAACTTATGAGCAAGCTTGAAGGGGTTGGAAAATTGGGCCAGTGGAAATATGTGTAACTTTTCGGTTTGAAGCATTCCACCCGTGAAAGTATGTATGTACAACCGCGGCTCTTCTTGCTTTGTTCAGCTTGTCTTCAAGCTCACAGAGGTCCCCGACATCGCAGATGGAGTGTGGCTCATGGTTGGAAATATCAAACGTCCGAAAGAATCCTGCCATAGAGTAGTAGTTCGGGACCACAGTATGGGAGGCCAACCGCACGAGAGTCTGGCCAGCCCCAACTCAAGTGCAACGTGGTTACGTTACAGAATGCAGCGCAGGCTATATCGAGTAATGGTTCAGGTTGGGATGTCTGGGTGCGACGCAAGTTGGGGCCGTCCTCTCAGACAGGCCGCGAGGCTGTGCGGCATCAAAAAAGGGCGCGTGTGCCTGAACCAAGCGGCATAGGAGCGCACTGCATGCCCCCCTCGAGGACCTCCCTTCAAAATCCGAGGTGGCGCTGAGGCCGAAACGGATTGCAAATCGCTTTGCGTCATGCTTGCCACGTTTGCTAATTCAAGCTGTAAGCCACGTATACAAAGGGAGAGAAAGAGAAAGAGAGAGACAGAACGACGGAAACATACCTACACACATACATCACCTTTCTATAAGAGAACACCAAAACATATGGAACAACATCGAGACAACCAAACCACACATCCGTGCGCTCCGCAATATCTGAATTCCAGACAAAATGCTAGTGACCTTTTGAGAAGAAACGCGCGTCCCCCAAAAGACTTCCTCGTGCCTCGGTACCCGATGCCGTGAACAAGTAACTAGAAGCGAAACAATGACGACCAAATACCTGACCCTATCTTCTTGCGGATCCGTCAATCCGTGAGGGTCCCGTCAACCCCGCCAACATCAACCTGACGTGGCTGGTGCCGTAGGAGGGCTCGCAGCCTCAATTACCGACAGATGCCGAACAATGAACGGGTGGATCCCGCCGCATCACGCTCATTTTGACTGGGGATTTGGAGACGACAACTAATCACAACTCCATGGCCATGAGCATCCAGGCATCTGGAAACAAAAATGTTTGAATAGCATCCGTCGTGATGCTTTCCTAATTTCCTGGATCTCAGGGCGACGAGATCTGAATTCGTGCACCGCCCCTGGTTAGGGCCAGGGGCAATGGATATGCATTGGAGGCAGCTAGGGAGGCCTAGCTGGATGGGTCCCTAGAACATCGGTCAAGGAGGGGGGATCAGGCCGAATCCGCTCAAGTCGGACCCCAGACCACCGCGGGGTCTATCTGGTGCAGGTTCCCCCCCCCCCCGCGATCTTTTTGGACGGCCGCGGGGCCCACAAACGGCCCCTGGAGGCCGAAAGCGGCAACAACAACCTGCTCGAACCCAGGATTAGATCGGGCATGTTCTCCTGCAGGCGGATCTTGGACGAAGAATGCAACAAGTATGGAACCATGCAAGCAAAACAGAACACGGCTGAAAAATCGTTCCCATACTATCTGTTTGAATGTTTGTGAACATTCCCCCTGTCGAGGGACATGCCCGACCTAAACACAGGACCTCGAGAGCTCGCCCCCCCCTTCCTGCTAGCCAGAGCCAGTGCTGGGCCGCCTCAGACTTCCAGCGGGATCCAGAGTGCTTTCTCCTACTTCGCCTCCTTCTCCTTCTCCTCCTCCTTTTCCTTCTCCTTTTCCTCAGCCTCCTCCTCCTCCTCCTCCTCCTCCGCCTCCTACTCCTCCTTCTCCGCTTCCTCCTCCTCCTTCTCCTCCTCCTCCTCGGCCTCCTCCTCCTCCTCCTCCTCCTCCTTTTCCTCCTCCTCCTCCTCCTCCTCCTCCTTCCCGCCTCCTCCTCCTCCTTCCCGCCTCCTCCCCCTCCTCCTGCTCCTCCTTCTCCTCATCCTCCTCCCGGGGCGTGGGTTCAGCCCCCCTTCCAGACGGGTGGCTCCAGCGTTCCAAAGCCCCCCCCAGGTGGGATAGGGGAGACGAGCACGGCTGCGACGAGGACGACGACGGCGACGATGACGACGACGAAAACGACGACGACGACGACGGCGACGGCGACCACGACACCACGCCCACAAGGCCACGACCACGGGGTTGGGAGAGATCCAATTTGCGAAGCCTCCGCAAGGTTCACGGGCGTAAGCATGCAGCGGGATGGGTGGGGGACTCGATCCCACACGCACTGGGGGGGGCAACCCTGGATATGTGCAACAAATGTAGGGCACCCAGAAACGACGTACGCGCCCAGCTATGTACATGAAGAGGCTCTTCGAGCGGGGCGCGGCCAGCGAAAGTGGCCAAGGACGGGCCGAAGGGGCCAGGATGCAAAGATACCTTTAGGGAAGGTCGAACATCCTTCTTGTGCGATCAGGACACGAGGGCGTCGGCCGGGGACTTAGTGGGCCCCGGAAACGGCAGGGCTGTCTTTTCATCGTTTCCGAAACAGCGTCTCTTGAAAATATAAATGGTAAAAAAACAGCAACCGGAAACGGCGAACAAACTGCTCCGGAATTGGAGCCGGAGCTGGAACCGGCAACAAAAACGACGACGGGACCAGCAGCAAAAACGGCGCCGGAACCGGCAAACAGACGGACAAAACGGACCCGGTTAACAAAAATGGCCCTGTCGTTTCCAAGGCCCACCGTGAGGCAAGGGAGGTGCGCGAGGAGCCGCGCGGCCCGTGCGAGGCGACGCGCCGTGGTGAGCGGCGTGAGCCGCGCCCCGTTGAGCAGCGGCACTCGGAGCGTCTCGGCGCGCCCCGAGAACGACACCTCGCGGGGGTCCGAGGGGCAGACATTGTACAAGGGGGGGTCAAAGCACCAGTGTCAAAGAACCAGTGCACAGTGAGGGTTTCATGGCAGGGCTGGACCTAGATGTTGTTTGTCGTTGTATGTTCGTTTTGCTTTTCGTTTTGCTCTGCCTATTTTCCTGCTCCTCCGTTCCAAGACAACAAAAAAACACAGCCAAAGTCCAGCAACACAGCGTTTAGGTCCAGCACTGTTTCATAGAGGGCAGCAAATCCCCCACAATAATCACCCCGACAAGCGAAGCCGTTCAGTAAACGCAACCAGGGAAGGACTCGAACAAGGCAAGGCTGCTCCGCAAACGCCCAAGACCGTTTGGTAAACGCCAGTCATCGGGTCCGGGTGGTTCGTCCTCCCTGGATTTCAAACAACCGCAATGTATGCAGAAGCCTCTTAGATGGGGTCGGAATAGATGGGGTCGGAGGACCGCGCCGTCTCGGCGATACATCGGCGATGCATCTGCGACGCACCGCCGTCGTGGGCGATGCATCGACGACGTCGCCGTGAAGCAAATCGGGTTCCACATCGAGCCGCATCCTCGATGCATCGGCGATGCGGCGCGATCCTCTGACCCCATCTACTACGTCCCCATCTAGGATCGGGGGCGGGCAAACATGGATTAGCGATCCATGGATTTGGCGCGCGGTAGCCGAATCAATGGATCGTGAGAAGTGCCCTCCCCAAACTGCGGCCAATGCCGCCTCGCTCGGCGGCGAAAATCCGCGATTTCCCATGGGAACGGGACCCGTCGCTAATCCACGCCCCCTTAATCCATGTTTGCGCGATCGCCCGATAGGAAGCCTAGAGTGTACCGTGGGGTTCCCCCGAAAAACCGAGGTGCACAATGCGGGGTTCGAAACACCGCCAATGTAGGACGTTGCACCTCGGGGCCTGGGGACCTCGCATGGAGCGAAGACGACGAGGGCAGTGCCAGGACGACATCGGACCGCGGCACATCGGGGATCGCTGAGATCATGCGATTCTGGAGGACGTGTCTAGGAGAACGAACACTGACACAAACATAACAACTCGGAGGTCTGCGCAGATTTCTGGGATCCGCGCTCCGCGCGCCAGGGAGGGGGGTCAAGCGCCGATCAGAGATATCCGCGTGGACCTCCGAGTTCTTATGTTTATGTCATTCCTCGTTCCTTCCCCTAGTATCAGGCGCCGCGGTCGCTTCAGTAGATGCCTCCTAGATGGGGCCGGAGCAGACTGGGTCGGAGGATCTCGCCGCATCGCCAACGTATCGGCGATGCATCGTCGGCGATGCAGCGGCATCGTCCGCGTGGAAAAGATCAGGCTCCCCATCGAGCCGCATCGCCGATGCATCGGCGATGCGGCGCGATGCGATCCTCCGACGCCACCTACTCCGACCCCGCCTACGAGGCCTGGAGCATCGGGCGCCACGGCTGCTTCACAGAGCTCCCGAATGCTCTGGGAATGTTCCAGAACGCCCCAGCGCGATTCATCCTGCTCCTGGCCTCGCCCGGGCAGCGCCAAGAAGCCTCCGTCCGCCGCCAAGCCTCCTGGCACGTTTGGGTGCCGGCTGCCCCCAAACAGCCCGGGCAGCTCCCCCCCCCGCGAGAGAGCCCCTCCAGGAGCGGCGGAGCCGAGATAGGCGCGCTCGACGCGGCGCCACGCAGGGTGCTGCGCTGACACCGTGGCAGCCCTGCCGCAGGCAGCTGGGTACTCACAGAGTCCCGGGTCCTGCCCCTTGCCGCCGCTCGGACGTCTGCCTCCCGTGCACTTTTCGGTCTCGCCTTTTTTTGTTGCTCGATGGTCCAGGATGGTCCGAGCGATGCCAAGGCCCCTGGTGCCGGGGCAGCGGTGGATGTGGGGCGGGCAGCTGTCAGTGTCTCGGGAGCGGCCAAGAGGGGGGTGTCCAAGAGGGGGGGGTGCAAATCATGGCTGGCGGAATGTGCGCGGCCCAGCGGGGGGGCCAGGGACGTAATCAAATAAGAAGAGGCGCCATGAAATCTGGGTACATATCATGCCCCCCGCCATGATATCCACCCCCCCCTAGTCATCACCCCCCTCTTTTCCGCCCCCGATGGATGTGGGGCGGGCAGCCGTCAGTGTCCACCATCCCTGGGTGTCCCGGGGCACAGCTCCGAGGCCGCGGATGCTCGCGTGCCCTGGCGGGGCACTCCTGGGATCGCTGCGAGCGGGGGAGCTGCTCTGCACAGGGCGCTGCCCTGTCTAAGAGAGGCCCGAGTCAGCGAGCCCCCCAAGATGAGCCCTTGAAATCCTTCACCCCAACATGCGACCCTCTCCTGCGCGACACGCCCTCTACTAAAGGCTGGGTAGTCGAAGCCAATCTGGCGCCAATCTGGCAGGCCCAATCTGGCAAACGGGGGCAATCTGGCGAGGGAGCCAACGCGAATCCAGTCTGGCGAATAACCCGAATCCTCCAGTTTGGCCGGGCCAGATTGGCCCTTGGGGCCCAATCCAATCTGCCAGTCTGGCCTTCGACTACCCAGACCGGCGACCACCGGCGACGTCGGCGTAAAGAAAATTGGGCCCCGCATCGAGCCGCATCGCCGATGCATCGGCGATGCATCGGCGATGCGGCGCGATCCTTCGACCCCATTTACTCCGACCCCATCTGGGAGGCCCAGACCAACATACCACTCAAACACCCTTCTGTGACCCCTCTTCTTGGTGGCGACCCTCTCCCTATAACCTAGAATAATCGAACACGGTGTAACCATTGGCTTTAGGAGGTCCGTGCGGAACTCTTGGAGCGGCGCTAAGACGCTCGGAACGCGCTGGGGGCGGGGCCGCAAATTCGATTGACCCAAAAAGGGGGTCCAGCTGAAGGGTGGTAGTGCAATAGATTCGGAGCAACTGCGTTGCAAATGTACTGCGCGCGGGAAATTGTATTGCACTATGTCGCAACGAACGTACTGCTCGCGAAAATTTGGCCATACATCTGCGCACCGGAACGTATATATCGCATGCCCCAGACCTATTGCAACTCTACAAATCTACTGCACCAAATCTCTGCACCATCCCCTTGTCTTAGGTCGGGCATTTCCTCCTACACGGGGGTTCTGTACCCCCCCAAACAAGCACGCCGAACATGCTCAATAAATGGTCAAACATAGTCAAGAGATCGTCCCCTGACTATTTTTGACTATTTTTGAACATTCCTCCTGTAGAGGGACACGCCCGAATTAACCCTTGTCGCTGGGCCTCTCTCTTGGGCCAACCAGGACAGAGGAGGGAGAGAGAGAGAGAGAGAGAGAGAGCGCCGGAAAACGTATTGGAGGGACGGCCCTATAAGAGCCCGGCGGGGGCGCCGGAGCGCCAGAAGGCTCACTCGTTGTACTTGCCGGAGTGGAGGAAGCGACGCATATATAGTCCAAAAAGCCTTCTTCACGAGTCTTCCACCATGGTAGGCTCTGGGCCAACACCCACCATTTGGAATCGTTGTCGGCGTCGGCGACTACCAACAAGTGCGGTTTGCCTCCCGTCATATCTGCCCCTCCCGCCCCCGGGAAACGGATGACACTGTCACTCAATGCGACCGAATCACATGACACTGTTGCTCCTTCTACTACAGTGGAGCACACATCGAGGATGACAGCGTCGCTGGAAACGACGATACAAGTGACTTTGTCTCTCAGAAAGGCCCCGGAAAGGCCGCCACAAAGCAACTCGCAAACCGCACCCCGGCGTAACCGCACCGACTGTCAGTAGTCGCCACCAGAGCAGAGGAGGAGGAGGAGGAGGAGGAGGAGGAGGAGGAGGAGGAGGAGGAGGAGGAGGAGGGGGAGGAGGGAGGAGGGGGGGAGGAGGGGGAGGAGGGGGAGGAGGAGGAGGAGGAGGGAGGAGGAGGAGGAGGAGGAGGAGGGGGGAGGGAGGAGGAGGAGGAGGAGGAGGAGAGGAGGAGGGGGGAGGAGAGGAGGAGGAGGGAGGAGGGGAGGGGGAGGAGGAGGAGGGGGAGGGGGAGGAGGAGGAGGGGGAGGGGGGGCCCGGTGCCGACCCACGAGACAGGTGGCGCGCACCTCCGACGGCGCATGCAGCGCGCGCCCACCCACGCCCACACGCAGAGGCCGGCGACGGGCCCCCGATATAGCGCAGCCGCGTGCTCCTGGGGAGGCCCTCGATATCGATTTCTCGATCCTGCGGGCCCAGGCCTTCTCGCACCCGGTCCCCCCTCCTGGTCTCGAGGCTCCGCTCGTGATTGACGACGACGCTTCGGACGATGCGGGAGCGGCCAAGATCGTGTCGGGCGAAAGGGGGGGATAGCAAAAGGGGGGTTTGAGAATCAGCTCGCGTAGCTGATTTTCCCGGCGCCTCCCGGCGCCGGAGGCGGCTATGCATCGAGGAATGGGCCCCTCGGTGAGGCCGACACCAGCTGCATGCAGCAAATTGCGTAACCCCCCCTTTCCCAATCCCCCCCTTTCGCCAGGCCCGAGAGGGGGCCCTTGGGGCGTCTGGGCGAGAGGCCGCCCTTTTTCATGGCCGGTCCTGGGGGGTCAAAAGCTGCTCGTCTGGGACGGTTGTGAGCTCCCCCCCCTCTTATTCGGGAGCGGCCAAGGGGGGTGTCCAAGAGGGGGGGGTGCAAATCATGACCGGCGGCATGTGCGCGGCCCAGCGGGGGGGCCAGGGACGTAATGAAATAAGAAAGGGCGCCATGAAATCTGGGGAAATATCATGGCCCCCGCCATGATACCCCTCCCCCCTAGTCATCACCCCCTTCTTTTCCGCCCCCGAATATAGCGCAGCCGTGTGCTCGTGGGGAGGCCCTCATAGAGATCCCGCGTGCTGAAAAAAGCAGGATCCTGGGGAGGCCCCCAGAGATCATTTATTCGCAAAGTTCGGCCCCAATTTCTGGCTCCAGCGTAGATCAAGACGGAGGTTTTTCGCAGATTTCGGCCCTTAAGGGGCCTTCGCCGGGCCTCGGGGCAGTCCAGAAACGCCTCAGGATGAGACGCTGGACCTGGGGGATGGGTCAAGCCTTCCAGGGGCCGTGCATGGAAAAACTCACGACGCCGGATCTCTGGGGTGGGCCATCGGGCTCCGATCGGCGACGCACGAGCGAGTGGGGGTCGATGCGTTCCCCCTGGAGCCTATCTCAGCATCTGGCCATCGCTCGGACGTCCATTCCCTGTGTTTTTTTCGGTTTCGTGCGTGGTTTTTTCGCCAAACGATCAAGGATGCTCCTCGATGGTCCCCGCCGAAGGAAAACTGCACACGTCCGAGCGATGCCAAGGCATGGGGGCAGCGGCCCTGAGGGAAGCGGGTCCTCGGCCCCGGGGGCCTTCCCCCAGGGCCCCTTGTGCAGCCCGAGCCTCTTTCGGGGATTTTTTCGGACCCCGGTCAACCCGGACCCAGGGCAGCAGGAAGCCAAGAAGCCGAAATGCAGGAAAAAAAAACTGCAACGCAGGTCTTCGCAAACCCGGGTCAACCACTATGCGCGGCCGCCTCGCGGCCACGAGCGGCTCGCTAACCCGGGTCAGCCAGAGGGGGTCTGCGCAGGTCAGGAGGGGAAAAAACACACAGACACAATTAATCGGCGATTCCCCAGAAAATATGGGAAAATATGGGAAGTGGGGGGGAAGACAAACACCCAGAAAATATGGGGAAATATGGGGAATCCTTTTATTTGTGCGTATTTATTTGTGTGTCTCAGGGCCCCTTCAGCAGGATACTGCAGGATCCTGTGTCCTGGCTGACCCCCGTTTGCATTGACCCCCTGTCTCAAGGCTCTCTCTGGCAGCCCCGGGACCAGGCCCCGAAAGCCTGAAACAGCAAAAAAAAACAGGCCCCCTTCCGAAAGATCCGATGTCGTGATTTTTGTCCATGCGCGGTCCCCGGAAATCTCGACCTGTCCCCGGGACCGGTTTTTCATCCCGAGTCGTTCTGTTGACGGTCCCGAGGCCCGGCGCCTCTAGGGGCCGAAATTTGCGCAAAAAAAACGTCGGTCTGGATTTTTTCAGCGCGCCCGATCTATGGGTTTCCCCACAGGACCCGTTTTCCCCATCGCGACCCTCTCGCCCACTCTCGAGGGGCGCAAAAACATGGCTTAGCGATCCATGGACTTGGCGCGCGGTCGGCAAATCCATGGATCGGGGGAGGTGCCCTACCCAAAATGCGGCCGGTGCCGCCTTGTTCGGCGGCGGAAATCCGCGATTTCTCATGGAAACGGCACCCGTCTCTAATCCACGCCCCCTTCATCCATGTTTGCGATCACCTGAGTGTTCAATCCAGTCGGACCTAAGCTTAGGTCGGGCATGTCCCCCTAGAAGCGGATTTTGGACGAAAAAATGTGCAAAAAGTATTCAACATAGTCAAAGCATAATAGAAAAATCGTCACCAGGTTATTTATATTACTATTGTCTACGGCTCATCCTGTAGAGGGACACGCCCGACTGAAACCTAAACCAGAAGAACATCCATCAAGAACACGAGACCCTCCGTTGGCCAAAACACGCAGAGCATCCATGGGCACCCTCCCCAGGGTGAGCAAGAACATCCAACGAACACAGCGCACACGAGGGTAACGGGCCTCGATCTGATACCTTGGTCCGACTGTACAGTCAAAAACCCCAATAAGGACGCGCGGTAAGGACGCAAGACCCTTGGAAGCCGAAGTTGGGACTTTTGGGGCGGCGGCCGACGAAAACCCCAAGGACGCACGAGCAAGGAAGAGTAAGGACCCTGAGCAAAGTCGCGCGTCCTTATTAGGGTTTTTGACTGTACCTCGGTCCGACTGTATGCCACCCCTCCTGGCACTGGACGGGCCCCAGGAGGCCTCCGGACGCCCCGTGGGACGGCACCACTAATCTGGGCATCGCTCGGACGTCCATTCCCTGTTTTTTTTGTTGGTTTCGTGCGTGTTTTTTTCGCCAAGTGATCAAGGATGCTCCTCGATGGTCCTCGCCGAAGGAAAAATGCACACGTCCGAGCGATGCCAAGAATAATTAGGCCTCTAGACGGCCCCTGGTCTGGTGAAAGCGGCCCCCGAGCGGCCATGGACGACCCCGAAAACGGGCCCAGGGCGGCCACAAGTCGGGGATGGACAGACCCCCCTTTAGTAAAACGTGGTTTAGTGAAAACGACTTGAGGCCCGAACCTGGCGAGCGCGAGCCTGGAAAATGACGGCCGCGGCGCCCTCTCGAGAACCGAAAACGGACAATTCACTAATCGACGTATCACTGTTGGGGGTTCTGCCCACCCCCGACCCCAAGACAACGGGGGTGGCAACGAGGAGGTTGTGGAGGAAGAGTGTGGGGGACCTGAAAGGGGCATGGCCTCGGCATGCCTTAACAACGCCACTGGACCGAGCTTCCCGGTGTCGCAGCATTGAGGTGCATGGTGGTCGCAGGCGCCCATCGTGGTCGGCAGCTATTGCCAGGGCAATCAGGAGAAGAGAGCGGAAGGGGAGGACGACGAGAGGAGCAAGGCAGAGAACGGGGCGCCAAGCTTCTGCGCGGAGGGCATCTTCCTATCTGAAGGCTTCCTGGATGGGGTCCGAGGAGGCGGGGTCGGGAGATCGCCCCGCATCGCCGATACGCCGGCATGCGTCGAAATCGGCGTGGGGAACGTCGGTCTCCACGTCGACCCGCATCGCCGATGCATCCGCGATGCGGCGCGATCCTCCGACACCGTCTGCTCGGACCCCACGCGGGAGGCCCAGGTCACAGAGATCCGATGTCGTGTTTTTGTTTCGACACGCGGTCCCCAGAACTCTTGGCCTTTTGCCCAAGACCAGCTTTTCATCCTGAATCGTTGGTTGACGCTCCCGAGGCCTGGTAGGGGCCCCCGAAGTCAGAGAATTGCGAACAACCTTCCGTCAGGATTTTGTCATTGCCCGAGGAGGTCTGGGCTCCCAGCCCTCCGGGCGGGGACGGCCTTCTTCTTCGCCAGCGGCCTGCCGCCCCGTCGCAATGACGACGGGGGGCTGGGGCTGGTGTCCTCGGCGCGGGCCGCGGGCGCGGCGGCGCGCGGTCTGTTGGCCCCTGCGGGAGGCTCCTGGGGGCCTCGCCCCCCCCGTCTTCGGGGGCGTCCAAGAGAGGGGAGGGAGGAGGGAGGAGGACGAGGAGGCGGAGGAATACTAATACTAAATGGGGGTTCGAGAACCATGGCCTGGGGGCATCTGCGCGGCCCAAGTGGGGGGGCCACTGGAAGTACTTTAGTCGTGGAAACAATTGGTTTTCTAAATGCTTGGTCTTTAGAAGCTCTGCGTGGCGACGCCCCCGTCGCCACGCGTGCCCTCTGCGTGCCTGCGGGGGCGCCGCCACGTAGAAGTACTGGAGACCGAGCATGTGGAGCGTCGCTACGCACGCCCTCTGCGTGGCTGCGACCATTTGTTAAAACCCTAAAACCAATTAGATTCACAAATAAAGTAGGGAGGTAAGAAGTCTGGTATGGCGGGGGCCTAAGGCCAGTCGGAAAATTCAGGCCTCCTCGCTGTCGGAGGCTTGGAAATAATCCTCGGCGTCAGACTCGACTCGCTTCCTGGGCCGCACGCCTGCCGAGGTCCTGGACCGAAGGCAGCTCATCCTCGTCCGGACCAAACTGAAGGGGAACTGGGACACACAAATAAATACACACAAATAAAAGGATTCCCCATATTTTCCCATATTTTCTGGGTTTTTGTCTTCCCGCCCAATTCCCATATTTTCCCATATTTTCTGGGGGATCGACGATTAATTGTGTCTGTGTGTTTTTCCCCCTCCTGACAAACGCAAGCAGCACGCTAGAGAGGGCCTGAGGGCTGCCAGCGGGAACCCCGAGTGCCCGAGAGGCCCCGCCAGGGCCGACGTTGCCCTGGTGCAGCGTGCTGGGTGCAATCTGCTGTCTGAAGCGACATCTATAACCTCTTTTAGGACGCCGACAGGCGTCTCGAGGCGAACGTCTTTCAGCCCAGCCTCATACGATGGCTATCGGCTTCCTCGAATTCGACAGAGCCCCGAACCTCCGTGCTCCCTCAAGCACGGCAACAACAGGGCTCCAGTCGGGACCGCCCCAGAGAAGAAACCCCACAGGCACATCATAAACACAACGTGCGGTTATCGTCGTGCCCACTCCGCGCCATGGCCTTCTCGTACTGGAGGGGTGCCCAGTGAAATTGTAGCCGATCCGACCGAAATCCTCCCAGCCATCCGCTGGGGCCTGCATCTCGGTCTGGAACAAAGTGGGCCCCTCGGCACTGCTGCCCGCGGCCTCACTGGACGAAGCCGCTCCAGCAAGCACCGAGGGGTCAGGTGGAGGATCCTCCTCCTGCCCCGTAAGCTTCCATGAGGTCGGCATGGTCACGGCCCTCGACCCCGTCACCCGCACACGCGTGCAACACCCCTGACCATCTCGCCGCCTCACGGGCCAGGGATTGGAATGCCACAAGAAGAAGTCAGCCTCGCGGACTCCGTGGAGAGTGGCTCCCTGCTTCGCGAATTTGTCTGCGGCATCGTTGCTTTTCTTCTCCAAGAGAGTCGAGCTCTCTGCAGTGGACCCGCGTTTTGTGAGCAGCGAAATCCGAGGGCAGGAAATCAGCCCAGACACGGACCCACATTTGGGCTTTCGGGTTCCCGACTTCAGCGCCACCCCCAGGGCCCGCGTTCAAAGTCATGACCGAGCCTTTGCAATCAATGTACAGCTCGAACGGAGGCATCGCAACCTGACAGAGCATCGACGCGGCGAAATCCTCAGCATCCCTCGAGCTCTGGAAGGAGGCCTGGCTGATGGGGGCGGGCCCATAGGCCGCGGCCAAAACTTCTCTGAATCGATCGCACATCATTAGAGCCCATCCAGCTCGGGTCAGCCGCGGGCAACCTGGAAAGAAGGCGGACTGTCCAGAAACAAGAGACCAATCAGCCTGCCCGACTCGGGCCGCCGGAACCAATTGGATCGTTTCCCGCTCGGAGGCCCTCGGGTCCGAAAAAAGGTGACCAACCAATAACGGGAAAAAAAACTCCCCTCGCAGGAAGTTCACCCGCTTGAGAACTCCAATTACGGGCCTTCTGGGCTCGTCGCTGCAAGCCGACTGGGACTCTATCGCGGCGCTTCACCGCGTGGCCGGCACATATATAGCATCTGCGCCATAGGCTCTCGTTGGGCCCCTCTGCAGAGCACGCGGGCACGGCCAGGGACTAGCTCCATCTTAAAAATTTTACCTTGCGACCACCGCGCTCCAGAGGGAAAGGCCTTCAAGGCCCGCTGCTGGTGGGCCGGCCAGCCAGCACGGGCCCCATGGGGGAGCGTCGACATGCCGTGCCAAAAAACAAGGGGGGTCCAGGGGCTGGAGTTGGTAGCCTGGACCTTGACTCACGCCTCGCCCCTTCCCCCGCCAGCTACTCTCGGGTCGGGCGAAAGGGGGGGATAGCACAGGGGGGGTTTGAGAATCAGCTCGCGTAGCTGATGTTCCCGGCGCCGGAGGCGGCTATGTATCGAGGAATGGGCCCCTCGGTGAGGCCGAAACCAGCTGCATGCAGCCTGGGTAGTCGAAGCCAATCTGGCGCCAATCTGGCAGGCCCAATCTGGCAAACGGGGGCAATCTGGCGAGGGAGCCAACGCGAATCCAGTCTGGCGAATAACCCAAATCATCCAGTTTGGCCGGGCCAGATTGGCCCTTGGGGCCCAATCCAATCTGACAGTCTGGCCTTCGACTACCCAGGCAGCAGATTTCGTACCCCCCCCTTTCCCAATCCCCCCCCCCCTTCGCCCGGCCCGATGCTCGGGGGGCCCGTTGGGGCGAGCTCGGGCTGCTCGGCGAGGCCGAAACCAGCTGCGTGCAGCAAATTTCGTACCCCCCCCTTTCCCAATCCCCCCCTTTCGCCCGGCCCGATCAACTTCGCGCATGGCGCTGCACGGCGCCCAACTTCGTGCCGGGGCGCCGCGCGAGGCGAGACCGGCGAGGAGCTTCGCGCCCTCGCGCCGCCCCCGCGGAGCAGGGCGGCCGCTCCAGGCCCAGCCCTTTCCCAATCCCAATCCCATTCCAGGACGAGGAGGAGGAGGAGGAAGAGGAGGAGGAGGAGGAGGAGGAGGAGGAGGAGGGGGAGGAGGCGGTGGAGGAGGAGGAGGAGGGGGAGGAGGAGGAGGAGCGGTGGAGGAGGAGGGCGGGGAGGAGGAGGAGGCGGTGGAGGAGGAGGAGGAGGAGGAGGAGGAGGAGGAGGAGGAGGAGGAGGAGGGCGATGCCCCCTTCGCCCGGCCCGATGCTCGCGGGGCCCGTTGGGGCGAGCTCGGGCTGCTCGGGGGGCCTGCCGAGGCCCGTCGGGACCCGCTGCGGGGGCTCTCTGCGCGCCCGGAGCCTCGCCCTCGCCCTCCTCCTCGCCCTCCTCCTCCTCCTCCTCCTTCTCCTCCTCCTCGCCCTCCTCCTCTCCCTCCTCCACCTCCTCCTCGTCCTCCTCGTCCTCCTCCTCCTCCTCCTCCTCCTCCTCCTCCCTCCTCGTCCAGACCCCGCCTGCAGGCGGGCACGCCCCTGGGCTCTCTGCGCGCCTGGGAGAAGAGAGACGCCTGCGCCCGGCAGGCGGGGGAAGGAGGGCGACGGATGGAAGGAAGGGACGAGGAGCAGGCGGGCTGCCGAAGCATGCGTCCTGCATGATGACTCGCGAGGGAGTCTCGAGCGACAGCGCAAGTCCCAAATAAATCGAGAGCGCATTCCGTGCAGCCCTAAGGTAGGGGAGGGAGGGCGGAGGGCGGAAGGGGGGCGAAGTGGGGGGGCAGGCGGCGCCGAGCTGCTGCCGCGGAAGGGGCCCGGGCGCAGGCGAGCGCCGTCCAGGTCGCCCTCGTCGGAGGCGCCGCTGTGCCGCCTGTCGGCGGGGGGCCGGGACTCGGCAGGGGCGGCGCAGCTGGCCACGGCGTGCCGCCCTCGCCCCCCCCCCCCCCTCGAGCAGACGGGGAAGGGCTGGGCGGGGGGAGGCGGAGGCGGAGGGGGGAGGTGAGGCGGAGGATGGGCGACGGAACGGTGGAGCCCCCCTTTATGGGGCCACGAACCGTGTGAGAGATGCGCCACAAAGGGGCTGGGCCGCCACGCGAACCCTGCCACCGGGGCTCTCTGTCGAGCTCCCAGTGGGCCCACGAACCGTGTGAGGGGTGCGCCAAAATGGAGCGGGAGGCGGAGGCGGAGGGGGGAGGGGGGAGGTGAGGCGGAGGACGGGCGACGGAACCGACGATGTCGCGCCCCCTCGCCCCCCCCCTGGAATAAGAGTGGCACTGGAGGAGCGGAAAGGACTAGGACGGGATGGGCATGCCGAGGACGAGGGGGAGGAGGACGAGGAGGAGGAGGAGGAGGAACAGGAGGAGGATAAGGATAATGATAAGGAAAAGGCCCTATAGGGGGTCTAAATTACGACGCCTCGAAAAAGGCAGGGCGACCCCTGGATGAACACACGGATGCGGGCCCCCTTGACTGCCTGTCGGGGGCGGCCTGGCGCGCGCGCTGTTTTAGAGCAGCTGCGCCGCAGCAGGGGAACCCTGCCGTGGGCGGCTGGATGGCGGACGCAACCTGCCCTGGGCGTGCCCTCACTGGGACGTGCCCAAGGCCGCTGAAAGCACCCCCCTCTTCCCCCACTCCACACCAGCGCTGGCAACAAACGCTGTTTAAGTTTAGAACGCGTTTAATAGAACAAACAAAAGCAACACCAAAACACGCCGACGCAATCCGTTCACCGTTTAGTTTTTAAAGCAAAAGAAAACAAAACGACGCGGCTGCCGTCCGAAACGAAACACGCTTCAGAACAAAACGCGACCGCGCGAACCTGCAGCGAAAACAAAACAAAACAAACCGCGCGGGCGCCCCCCCGCTTCCCCCCCCATGCCAAATCCCCCGCTTTCCCTCCACACATCCCCCCCGGTGGGGGATGTGTGGAGTCCACACATCCCCCGCATCCCCCACCGCCTCTTTCACTGCTGTCGGCACGATGCGAAAACAATATCCGGGTGAAAGGCCCAACCGTACGCAACTGTGAAAACCGCAGGGCAAGTGTGACGCAGCAAGGGGAACTCCCAATGGGGCCACGAAGCGTGCGACGGGTGCGCCAAAATGGGCGGTGCCGCCATGCGAACCTTGCCACTGGGGCCTTCGGTGGAGCTCCGAATGGGGCCACGAACCGTGTGAGGGGTGCGCCGACGTGGGGCGGGGCCGCCATGCTAACCCTGCCACTGGGGCTCTCGGTGGAGCCCCCCTTTATGGGGCCACAAACCGTGCGAGAGATGCGCCACAACGGGGCTGGGCCGCCACGCGAACCCTGCCACCGGGGCTCTCTGTAGAGCTCCCAGTGGGCCCACGAACCGTGTGAGGGGTGCGCCAAAATGGAGCGGGGCCGCCACGCGAACCCTGCCACTGGGGCCTTCGGTGGAGCTCCCTGTGGGGCCACGAGCCGTGTGGGGTGTGCGCAAAAATGGGGTGGGGCCGCCATGCAAGCCGTGCCACTCGGGCCTTCGGTCGAACTCCCTTGAACCACGAACCGTGTTAGGGGAGCGCCGACATGGGGCGGGGCCGCCATGCGAACCGTGCCACTGGGGCCTTCGGTGGAACTCCCTATGGGGCAAACAACCGTGTGAAGGTGCGCCAAAATGGAGTGGGGCTGGCATGCGAACCCTGCCACTGGGGCCTTCGGAGGAGCGCCCGATGGGGCCATGAACCGAGTGAGGGGTGCTCCAAAATGGGGCGGGGCTGCCATGCGCACCCTGCCCCTGGGGCCTTCGGTGGATCCGCGTAAGGGGCCACGAACCGTGTGAGGGGTGCGCCAAACCGCGGGGCCACCACGCGAACCCTGCCACTGGGGCCTTCGGTGAATCTCCCAATGGGGCCACGAAGCGTTGTCCTGGGTGGGTGAAACGCAGGGAGGAAGGAGGGAGGGGGAGGAGGCGTGAGGAAGGAGGCGGGAAGAGAACGGGGGACCGTCTCTTTAAAACGAGAACCCAACACCAACGGATGGCCGGGGAACAAAAACGCCTGCTGCTGCTGAACTGAGTGGGAGCCCGCCTGCCGCTAGTTGGCTACTCTCCGTCGTTGGTTAGCCTCATTGGCAGGGGGATGCTGGGTGGGAAAGGTTCTGGCGCTGGCATGTCGGGCTCCGCTGAAAAAGCGCCAGGCTGCTGGCTGACATCGCTGCTCGCGACATGCAGCCCAGCCCCCACCCCGCCCTCTCTGCCACCGCTGAGTCGCAGAGGCGAAGGTCCCCGCTCGAGCTCGGCGCACTCGGCTCCGTTGGAGTGCCTGGCGGGGGTGGTGGCTGGAGCTGCAGCTACGCCGGCAGCGCTTTCGCGTGCGGCGCCCACCCCCGGGTGGACTTGCTGGATTCGTGCGCTTGGGGCGCTGGTGCGTGCCACTGCTGTTGCGGCCGCTGCAGGCTGTCGAGACTGCTCTGGTCCACCACCGCCACCTCGTCGCAGCCCCAGCCGTAGTCACTCTCCGTCCCCTTGGTATCATGGCCTTCGAGCTCGACGATCTGGACGGGGGCGCGTAAGCCTGGATTAGCGATCCATGGATTTGGCGCGCGGTCGCCAGATCCATGGATCGGGGGGGAAGTGCCCTCCCCACAATGCGGACGGTGCCGCCGCGCTCGGCGGAGGAAGTCCGCGATTCCCCATGGAAACGGGACCCGTCGCCAATCCACGCCCCCTTTACTCCATGCTTGCGATCCCCTGGCCCGGCCACGCCATCACGGTCGGCGGCACGGTGGTCGCTGGCTGCTCCTGTGCTCGGCGCTGCGAGCAGCGGCCTTGGCGGCTCCAGTGGTCAGGATTCTCAGAATGCGGACGGCGTGTCGGGTCACGTGGTAGGCTCGCGCCGCATGGTGGCCGCGCAGCTGGCCGCAGCTGCCCTCGTTCTCGTCCCCCGCCTTCGTCGTGTTCGTCGTCGTCGGCGTCGTCGTCGGCGTCGTCGGCGTCGTCGGCGTCCTGCTGCCGCTCCTCCTCCTCCTTCTTCTCCTCTTCCCCTTCTCCTCAATCTCTCCTTCTCACCCCTCCCTTCCTCCCTCCCTCCCACAGCCATGTAAGTTACCCATATCCAAGACCAGGCGAGAGTACCAGATAGGATTACCTGCGACTGGCATCGTGAAGTCCAGTGAGCCTGAGCCTCGAGCATTACTCCTTGAGTGGTGGATTGAACTATCTTACCGCCACGCGGTGGCTGCAATTCCTGTACGTGCCACTTCTCCTGCGCCTCTCCATGCCCCCGACCGCGCGCAGAGCCTGGCCATCGCTCGGACGTCCATTCCCTGTGTTTTTTTTCGGTTTCGTGCGTGTTTTTTTCGCCGAACGATCAAGGATGCTCCTCGATGGCCCCCGCCGCAGGAACAATGCACACGTCCGAGCGATGCCAAGGAGCAGCGGACCGACGGCGGGGGCGCGCCTCATCGGGTCCAGCTCCCCCGAGGAGGCCGCCGACGTAGCCAGAGAAAAGTCGGAGCCTGCTCGCCCGACCGTCCCTGGGGGGGCCGCGCGCGCGAGCGCGAGCGCGCGCTCGCTGCCCAACGCGACACTGTGCCGCGTCTTACTGGAACCCCAGCGGTATTGCGTTCCCTTTGGTCAGTCTCAGCCCCAGCGGCACAGCCTGTGAAAACGGCGCCCGCGGTCGGCATCGTTTCACCGACCCCCACTCCCATCCCCGTCCCCTTCGAGACCCCCACCGATCGGGGATGGACAGACCCCCCTTTAGCAAAACGTGGTTTAGTGAAAACGACCTGAAGCCCAAACCTGGCGGGCTCAAGCCTGGAAAATGACGGCCACGGCGCCCTCTGGAGAACCGAAAACGGACAAATCCAACCCCGAACCAAATCACCCCGCCAGTTGGGGATACACCCCTCGAAACCCGGGGGGACCGGCCTTTACCCCCATCCACGGGGGGCACATCGGTCGCGCAGTGGACATCCTCCCAACTGTTCCGGCCCCCGGGGCCCTCCCCGGGCTCCGGGACCGTCGGACAACCCATCGCTCGACTCCGGACTCTCAAGGCCAGCCCTGCGGCCCGTGGGGGTCGAGGGACCGTCTCCGCCAAGACCTCTTTGCTCCGCGTGCCACAAAGAGCCCGAGCATCTGCAGCCTCACCGGCCCTCTGGGCGCGTGTGGTTCAGCACGCCTCCGATCGCCCTCGTGGCCCCTCGGGAGCAGGCCTCTCACAGCTCCGGGACCGTCGGACAACCCATCGCTCGACTCCGGCCTCGAGGCCAGCCCTGCGGCCCGTGGGGGTCGAGGGACCGCTTCCGCCAGGACCTCTTTGCTCCGCGTGCCACAAAGAGCCCGAGCATCTGCAGCCCCACCGGCCCTCTGGGCGCTGTGAGGTCCAGCACGCCTCCGACCTCCCTCGTGCCCCTCGGGAGCAGGCCCTCACAGCTCCGGGACCGTCGGACAACCCATCGCTCGACTCCGGCCTCGAGGCCAGCCCTGCGGCCCAGGGGTAACAGGGGATATGTCGACCCCTATCCCAGGCTTCGTGGGGTTTCCGAATGGACCAGAAATTTGGGGCCCAACCCTGGGATATACGATGGGGGGGGTCCATCCTCGATAGGGGTGCGTCCGAATAGCCCCCTTGGGGCGTATCCCAGGGTTTTCCCATCTTTCGGAGCGGCGAAACTTTTCGGGCGAAACTCGGGGATTGGGGGAGAAACATCGCCCGCGACCAGGGGGGTCGGGGGCCCGCTTCCGCCAGGACCTCTCCGGCTCCGCGTGCCAACCAAGCGCCCGAGCACCTGCAGCCTCACCGGCCCTCTGGGCGCGTGTGGTCCAGCACGCCTCCGGCCTCCCTCGCTGGCCATCGCTCGGGCGTCCATTCCCTGGGTTTTGTTCGGTTTCGTGCGTGGTTTTTTCGCCAAATGATCAAGGATGCTCCTCGATGGTCCTCGCCGAAGGAAAAATGCACACGTCCGAGCGATGCCAAGTCAGGTCCTGCTCCGCGCGCCACAAGGAGCCCGAGCACCTGCAGGCCTCACCAGCCCTCGGGGCGCATGTGGTCTGGCACGCCTCCGGTCTCCCTCGTGCCCCCTCGGGAACAGTAAAACAAAGCTAAGATCGGGATAAATCGCTCCAGAGCGTTCCGGAGCGCTCTCAGAGCGTTCCGGAACGCTCTGGAGCGGCCGCGGCGCCCAATACATCCTCCAAACCCGCCGATTCTCAGAGATTTCGAATTATCCCGATCCGATTTTGTCCCGATCTTCGCGTCGTTTTAAACAGGCCTCTCACAACTCCATGTTCACGAGCACCGCCTTCCCCACTCGACCGGCCACCGACCAGGACGAAGATCGGCGGTGGGCATAAGCCTCCCTTTACTGGACCTCCCCTTAGTTAACGGGCGAAGAACGGTATAACATAAACTTTTTCGCTGTCGGGGGCGCCTGTCCCAGGGCGGCTGGAAAGTTTATACCCTTACGGTGGCACCGTAGGGGTATAAACTTTCCAGCCGCCCAGGGACAGGCGCCCCCGACAGCGAAAACAAATATTTTATACCGTTCTTCGCTCGCTGACTTAGTGAAAACGGCCTGGAACCGAAACCGACGGACCCGGACCCGCAAAAATGGCGGCCGCGACGCCCTCTCGCGAACCGAAGACGGCCAATCCCACCAGCCCTCTGGGCGTAGGTGGTCTAGAGCAGATCCTCTTCCACCCCTCCCTCTTCCCCCTTGGGGAGGGGTTTACCCCTCCCCCTACCCCCTCCCCTGGACCTGGACGGGGGGGGCCGCGGGTAGTTAGAGCGTCCAAGATGGCCCAAGACGGCTCCAAGAGCGCCTCAGAGAACCCAAGATGAGCTCCAAGATGGCTCAAGATAGCGCAAGATCGCTCACGATGGCTCCTAAGATGGTTCCAAGAAGCCCAAAGACGGCCCCAAGATAACTCCAAGTGGCCAAACAGCTCCCCAAGGAGGCCCCGAAGAGGCCAAAATCGTCCCAAAACCTAAGGAAAATCAATGATTTTTGCTTTCTCGCCTTTTCGCTTCCGATGGCCATCCGAGGCCTGGAGATGGCTCCAAGATGGCCCAAGAGGGCCCCAAGAGAGCCCCAAAAGAGCCCCAAGACGGCCCCAAGAGCGCCCAAGAGCACTCCAAGAGCGTTCCAAGAGGGGTCCAAGAGGCGATTTTAGGGGCTTCCGAGGGGGGGCGCTAATTAAACCCCCCCTCTTGTTTGATCGACTCCCTCCAAGATGGCCCCAAAAGCGCCCCGAAGGCTCCCCAGAGCGCCTCAAGAGGGTCCCAAGAGGCGCCCAAGATGCCCCAAGGCGCCCAAAAAGCCCTCCAAGAGGCCCTCAAAAGACCCCCAAGAAGCTCCTTCCCCTCCTCCTCCTCCTCCTCCGATTCTTCCTCCTTCTCCGTCCTCCTCCTCCTCCTCCTCCTCCTCCTCTTCCCCCTCCTCCTCCTCCTCCTCCTCCCGACGACGACGACGACGACGACGACTCCTCTTCCATCCTCCCCCTCTCGGGGTCTGTGACAGCTTCCCCCGCCCTTTGTTATTCTGCATGCTCCCCGACTTCCCTGATCACCTCAACTCCCCTGAGCATCGTTTCTGGATGGGCTGGTGGGGATACGCGAAGCGTCAACAATTCCTTCATCGACGTGTCAGGGCAGGAGGTCTGTCCGCCCCCGACAAGACGCCCCTCCACCATCCCTGCCCCAGAAACAATACACAGCGCACAGGGCGGCAAAATCTGGATCCTGAGCGGGCGCCCCGACGGCACATGGAACGGCCTTTGATCGGGATGGCGGGGATGGAGCAACTGTGGTCCGCCAAACGCTGACCCACTACAGTCGGACCTAAGACAGAATGACATCCTTCAAGAGTATGAGACCCTCTGCCGGCCAACATGAAGAGCCTTCGAGGGTTCCCTCCCCCAGGGTGCACAAGAACATCCAGCAAACACGAATCACATTAGGGTACCCTTCCCGAACCGACCTCGATCCCAATCCTTATCAAGCAATGCAGACGGCAAACTGATTGCGGGTTCGCATACCCCGAAACACCATGCCGAACACCCCGCCCCAACTTTGAGAGGTGTTTTGTCCGGCAAGAACGGTGGGGGTGCCGCACACTTACTTGGGACGGGCTCCTCATCCTGAGTGGTTGTTTTGGTGGTCCTGGGGCCCGGAAGGGCCCCTCGAGGCCGAAAGCGATCAAACATCTCCCGTCGTGATGTCTTCGAACTGGAGTGCTAGGTCTGACGCAAATGGGTCCCCGGTGAGAGGCGCAATAGTACGTACCTGCACTGGTCGGTGCCCACGCGCTAAGTGATATAGTTGCGCGCGGATGCAGCGATGTAGCTTTCCTCGCGCGCAATAGTTATCGCCAGTGCGATAATTTGCTCGCCCCCCCCCCCGCAGCGGTGGCCCACGATTGCAAGAACAAATGAACACTATATACCTATACGACCACCCTTCGGGTGATAAGGAAGTTGTGTGTGGGGGGGGGGGGGAAAGTTTGAAAAACGGCTGTGAAGCCAAACCAGCAGCTTCGCCCAAGGCGAAGCCCGTATCCAACCCCGTTGTACCGTAGTAACGATAGTCCCAGAAGTAACAGATCGTCGCGGGAGCGGCGGGCCATCTCAACCGAATATGTTTTTGATTCCGATGGCAAGTAGGGTAACCCGCCATGAGGCACAGTCATATATTGGCGGCCGGCCGCTTGAGTACAAACGGCCGCGGACAAACGCTCGTTATCTCTCGCTTCGGTCCCAGTTCCCTTTAGACTCTGGGGGGAGACGAAGCGAGAGTCTGCCACCCGCTATACAGTAAACACTATATATACACAAAGAAGGCAGCAACAGGCGGGTTCAAAACGAAGGTAGACCCGCACGCAAGTGCCTTTGCACGCGCGTTACCTTGCGAGCAGATCGCCCTGCAAGCGAGCATTTCTCAAGCGGCATCAGACGATGTTGTCTGGCCAGCCCGGTACAACATATGGTGCTTTCGTGCTTGAAGGATTGCGTTCCTCCCATGACCTGTAAGAGCACATCTCTGTCGATGCTCCCTTTGGTGTGACCGTCCGCAGTCCTGTCGCGAGTGTCGCATCACTGTGTACCATGCGCGATACGTCGTTCCATCATCTGTCGTATCCAAATGACGTGTCCCAAAAGAGCATACTCGGTCGGTGTCTTCAGGTCTTGGCATGACAATGACTTGAAGACATATTCCGCATCTATGGTCAAAGTGACCTTAATGCTAAGGCCACCCATCTCCAGTGTATCCTTCAAGTGAGTGGGTGTCAGCGGCCCCGCGTGGAGTTCGTGCAGAGTGACGATCGATCGTGGGGTAGCAGTCCTCCGACTTGTTGCCTGCTGCTCGTGTTTCTGCTGGCTAGCTCCAGCGGACTTGCAAACGGCGAGACTTGCAGTGCGCATCGATAAGATGGGCGACGGGCGCACCAGCAGGCGTGTTTCCACGCCGTAGCAGGTTCGCCCCGCGAATACCATAGCCTTCGACCTCGTCATCAGCATCTCCACTCAGGCG